CCCTCCCCGCGGTGTGCCTCCAGGAGCATACAAGAACCACCTGTTTGTGCTGCACCTGGCCCTGGGCCAGCACGACGAGGTGCCGGACTCACTGGAGCAGTGGGCCGACTGTTCCTTCACCATGCCCGCCTCCACCGTCTCCAAGGCCCAGGTCCGCTCCATCAGCGTGGAGAACCCCACGCCTCCGGAGAAGTGGGTGCGCTACATCGCCAAGTACCAGTACCGCGTGGAGATTGATAACGTCATTGAGACTGAGTCAGATCACGAGACTAGCGAGTGAGTGATTTGGGAGGCTGGCTCCACCGTTTGATGGAGAAAGATTTGCACAAGATCAGGGAGTGATCGGAAGCATTGATGTGCTGTTTGGACAGGAAAGGATTGTGGAGACCCGCTGGTGATGTGATGGTTGATGGGGCAGCGTGTAGAAGAGAAAGATCAAGCAGGACAAGCTGGCGATTAAAGAAAAAACAACATCATTCTGGAGAACATTGCGCAAAAGGTGTTTGAGAGACTTAAAAACATTTCTAAGAGACAGTCAGAAGAAAGGACATGGGGTTTGAGACCAGGAATGGAATGATAATGATGCCTAAAATTCTCTGCTTTGAAACACAGCTGGCTTTACTCTTGTGAAACCCTGAAGCCAGTCGTGTTGTAAAGTGGAGTCACCAGGCTCAAGCTGATTGGGTCATCTGAAATTATTTGGTGATGAATTTGCACTCTTGGTAGTGATGGGAAAAAAACAAAGAAAGAAAGATTTCTTTACCTCAGGGCTGTCCACAGACTTTGTTTATGTGTCATGTGGATTTTTTTACACTCCATACTGCCCCTTTTGGACCCACAACAAGCAAACAGTTTTTGTTCAATTTCCAGTGATATCATGATGCCATTGTCACTAAGCCCCTAGGGAAGTGTTTGTCAACCTTTTTATCTCCAGCACCCACTTTTGCTACTTAAAAGTTGTCATACCACCCACCTACATATATATTCCCCAGAGGGGCATCAAATGATACCTGTGACGAGACATGTGATCCCCCCCACCGCCCACCAAAATTACCAAATCGCTCACTCATGGATAATGTCACCCAGGTTGGCAACCACTGCCCTAGTGTGATGTTTAGAGACGCGCAAAATCCCTGAATTTCAACACATCAAAATGTAAAAAATGATGAAAATCTCTGAAGTATTGAACAAGTATGAAACTAAAGGTCTGATGCAGAAGGAAAAATAAAAGCTTAAACTTTCATAAGCAGAATGTTCTGTGGAGAGTACGTTTTATCGAAGCTGTGAACAACCTTTTCCCTGTCGTTTTACTCGAGTCGTTTCCCCTGAGCTGTGTGCTGTTCATGCTGCTTGTCACAGTGAGGCGGACAGTGACAGCAAAATCTCCGTCTTTGATCTGACCATCATGAATTCCTTTGAATTATTTGTAACATTCCCTCTACTGTATTCATTTAGGGTTAAGTCTTTGCATTAATTGATCTCCCGTGTGACGATAGAAAGTCTGACCAACTCAAAGACAGCTATGAAAATTGACCAAAACCTAAGAGTATTTATTTGATTCCCACAAAATATTGAGTGCTGTATTTTCTTAAGAGTCACAGGTCAGTGCAGTATTATGATACATTCTGACAGAGCCTTTGAAGAGCTTTCATCTCATATCAATACACTTTTCTGTTTGGGTCAAATCCGTGTTTGTCTCTCTATTTATAATCTCCATTAGGGAAAAGTGTGGAGGGGAGGTACAGCTTTCCTCCGACTGTCCTGTGTTTGCAATCTGGTAAAGAGGAGTAATCCATGACGTTTATCGTCTGCTCTTTATCGTCTGCTCTTTATCGTCTGCTCTTTATCCTCATTCTCTTGTCCCAAATGCCTGTCTACGTATTTATTCTGTCGTGTGTGGAGACGGACCGTCCTGACATCACACCAACATTGCTAAACTGATCTCTCTGCCCAGTGCTTCGTCTACCGCAACAAAAGAAAAAAACCAACCTGAAGTGACCACTCAAGACCAACTCTTTTTACTTTTTGTATTCTTGTCAACAATTTGTCTTCTATTTATTCTTCCCTCTGAAAGTTGAGCTTCTGTGACCTGTACATAAAACTGAATGAGTGGATTTGCTTAGCTATTTGTACGGAGGAATAGCTTGCTGTTGCTAGTGGTTTCAGAATACATGTAGATTAATGTTTGACTGTTTTCGCACTGAAGCAGGATATGAAAATGTTATGATCTAGTCATTTAGAGATGAGTTGTGTCCCCTTTCATAACACCGCTGACTGTTCTTTACACACACAAATCTTTGTATTATGCCATCTTTCACATGATTATGTGCTTGTTAAAATTGAGTATTCTGGCATAAACATCCAGTGAAAGAACTGTGCTCATACCGTTGTATTATAGTTACTTCTTTTTACACCCGCTCACTGCATTAACTGTCATTTTTTTACTTCATGTCTAAAGTAGATTTTGGCCCCACCATCCCCCCACCCTCCCCCCACCATCCCCCCACCATCCCATGCGAGATTTGCCGTTCATATTGTGCGGTGTAGTGTGAAGACGCTCACCCTTGCCCATGTTAAGGATAACACATTTTTTGTACTCATTGACACCCTCTCTGTGCTTGCTACTTGGAATTTGTTGTTTTTCAATTACTCCTCAATGAGGTTGCATCGTAGATAGCAGACTGTTTCTGATTGGTGGTGTTAGATTTAATTCTTATTTCTGTTGTTATGTTGAAAATGTTTTTGTGTAACTGTAGGCAACTCTGCTCTTTTATGAGGTGCTGGTGTTTGTCAACACTTTTTTGGCTCTGAGTTGTGATTATTTTTTTCCCCCTTTTGTGATGTGCTGGCCCCAGCGGAGTGTGTGATTCCCTGCCTCAGCAGCTCCTGTGATAGCACCTTTTTGTTCACTTTCTCTAATCAGAGAAACTGCTGGGGTTTTTGGTCAGTTTATAATTTGGAAAACCTGAACGATTTGTAGAAAAAAAGTAGTGCGAATAATTATGTTAAAATATTAAATAAAAATGTCAAAAAAAACAAAAAACTTTATGAATTTAATTGTTGTGTGTCATGTAATCTGACTGGAAAGTTCTCACCATCTTCAAAAGTTTGTTTGTGTGGGTCTTTTTAGTTTTAGCTTCTGGCAGCGTGCGGTTTTCCTGTGGAACTGTCGGTGTACGTCTTCAGCTCCTGTCCTGTGTGCTTTCCTCACAGCCATGTTGTTCCGGCTGCTGTTTTCCACTGACTTAAGTAGTTGGTTAATGTACTGATCAAGTCAGTTTGGAGCACCACAGGATCCTTTTACTTTGAGAAACTGGACAATCAATATCGACGCTTACTTCAATTGCAGTATGGTAGAGGATGGCGCGTTTAGCAAAATGTAAGTTACGTTTGAGGGTTTGGGAATGTCAGATATATCAAAAGGCGATGGAATCAGGCACTCATCAGTTTTTGGGCATGTGGAGTTATTGGTATCGTTCTAAAGCTTGTTTATTTGTCTTGCTTTTGGTAAAAAAAACAACCCACTCTTCTTTCATGAATAGAAGTCGAAATATTTGCTATTGAAGGAGGTGGGGTTGCCTGATTTCAAAGGTAGAATTACCAAGAAAATTGCCATCAAAGTTGCGCGACTTCCAAATCTGAAGAGTTCTTGGAAACTGCAAATTTACTTTTTTTTTGTTTTTGTACCTTAGTTCTACGTGTTTTTTAGTAAAATCCACAAAGAAATGTGTTTTTCAATGGATGTTAAAGGTGTTGAGTCCCCCCCAAAAAAACTGGATGAAAATTTCCAATCGGGTAGATTTCATCATTTTGACGAACGCCTGATTTCATCTCGATCCCTCAGCTATATGTCTTAGACTTTACTGTGTGAGATAATGGGCTGGCGGAAGGAGACAGATGTTGTGAAGTTGTGTGAGTGGTCTGACAGTTGGGCCACAAGATGACAGACAAGCACTCCTGACTTTTCTTTAAGCCCATCTGTACTGTTCAAAGACCTATATAATACATATTACTAGACTGCATAATAGTTTCTCCTAAGAGGCATAAGTTACTGGATGAAGTCTGTGCCTTTTTCTGTTGGCCTTCGGTTCTCAACGGTTTTTGTTTGTGGATTTTCTGTTGTCAGTTTTTTCGACCCTGACCACCTTACTTCCAGTGTGGTACCAAAGATGTTGTGCCGATGGAACATTTGATGTGGAACTGATGATGTAACAGGGATCAGAAATGCTAAAGCCATGGTGTGAACTTGTCAAATGGACACAGAGCAATGATGTCACAGAATTTTCATTGACTTCTTATTTGGTCTTCGGGTGAAGAAGAATTCGTTTCCAGAATAACCCCTTTTGGACGTGGCAATCTCTATATTATTTGTCATGAGTTGTATTTTCTCTCTGACAAAGTTGGTAATATCTTCCCAGGAAATTCCAACATAGGTGGCCATATTTTAAGGTTTTCCTGTTGACTGTTTTATATTAATTCACTTCATGAATCAAAAGAATCCAATCAATAATTTAATTTTTTTTACACACTTTCTGTAAGTGAAATGTTCTGCAGCTGAATGTCGTATCTGATTTATGTGTGATTTTAACCGCCATATGTTTGAGAAATCAGTATAGTTTTTGCTAGTTGTTTTTTTAATTGACAGATTGGAAGAATGTATTTGGTGAGCTTTCATTTCTGGGGTGCTGAGTCCCAGGCAGTCTGGGTTTGCCCTGACAGGCAGGGTTGAAAGAGACGGCCTCCTAAATGACCTTACCTGTGTCAATAGGGATGTAAAACATTGACAATCTATGAATCCACATTTACAGTTAATCAATTTAAGATTGATGATTTTTTTTTTTTCAAGCATTGCGTGATCTTCGGCATCATTTACAAGAATAAGTTAACTTAAAGTATAACGTTGTGGCTCCCCTTCAGTATATCTCCGTGATGTCCCTGACCCAGATGTCCTCAGTCACTGCTCTCGGACACTGTTGGGTGCCAGTTTCAGGCAGAAGTATTGCTCGTATTCACATTTTTTCATGTGTATCAAATCAACAGGTTGTGTCACATTATTTTGTAACATTTAATTTTTTTTAATAGAGTTTTTGTATGATTTTGTTTTGAACATATTATACGTGACCTGTGAGAACCAGTGATTCTTGAGCATTCCTGTCTGTGAGCTTGTGTGTCAGGCCTGCCGACCCCTGCAAGAAAGTGTTGTTTTTTTCTACCTGTTCTCTCTCTCTCTCTCTCTCTCTCTCTCTCTCTCTCTCTCTCTCTCTCTCT